AAAAATAAATAAATAAATAAAATCTTTAAAAAAATTAAAAAGAAAACAACCCAAAACTTAATAAGCATCAGGATGCTAGGGTCTCCTGTCTCCACCCCCAGATACCAGCACAAGGCGAGACACCTGCTAAGAAGAAATCCGACTTCCAAAGCAGAGCGTGGAGAGAGGAATCAAGGTTATAAGAGTAGCTGGATTAGAATGCAGCCTCCTGCATTTACTCCCACATGACCTTGGCAGCCTCCGTATTCTCTGAAGTCATGGTTAAGTACCCACTGCATCATTCAATGATTCAACAGTCAAAAGGTTATGTGATATAGCGACTGGCCTATGGCGAAGGCTTGATAAATATTAGCTATTATTACTATTCCTGGCTCTCCCTTCCAGGGGTAGGGGTGAGGAAGACGCCTAAATGTGGAAAAAGAGGTCTTGTTTCTAACCTCAGAGATACTCACATCGCCCACAGGCAAGGCAAGTGGAAAGCGCCCCAGGGCGCGGCCTCGGATGCGGCCAGCAGCCCCAGCCATCACCCCTCAGCATGGCGGTTACCTCCGCCAACTGCCCACTGCCCCAACCTCATTGGCTGAGGCCTGGAAGCTGGTCCGGCGAGCCAATCAGCGGAGGGGACGGCACAGCGGAGGGGACGGCACAGCCTCGGGCAAGCGTACCCAGGTACCTGGGGGCGAAAGGCTGAGTCTAGGCTCCAGCAAGGTGTCCCTTGTGCATTGAACTTTGTCATTTTTTGCTGAATATCCAGCTCCTTTGCTAGACTGGAAACTTTATGAGGGTAGGGCAGTGTCTGCATTCCTTAATGGTGACCTTCAGGGACTAATGCATAATTGACACCCATTTGGTGAATGACTAGATGAGGAATACACATCCCCTAAGTAGGTCAAACTTTTAAGTCTTTATCTCTGAACAAATAGGTGAAGAAGCTCATTCCTAGTTTATGCCCTTGCTACTCCAAGTGTGATCCTCCTCCTCCAGCAGCAGCTGCAGCACAGATATCAGTACCTATGGGAGCCCATTAGAACGCAGAATCTCAGGCCTCACTCCTAGACCTACTAAATCAGGATCTGCATTTTAAGATATCAGGTGATTTCTTAACAACTTATGGTCTGAAGAGTATTCAGTCACTCCCATTTGACCTGATAGCAAATAAATGAACGATCTAAGTCCATTTTATAGATGATAAAAATATTTTGAGTGCCATGGGAGAATTAGAATCTAGGACTACATATTTCCAAAACTAAGTATTTAAGTTGTACTGTCTTGAGCTCTATTAGCTTCCTAATCTCCCAAGAGGTTCAGCGAATGTTTTACTTCAGAGTGAGCCATGTATAGAGCATGGGACTCTTAATCTCAGGGTAGCTGAGTTCAAGCCCTACATTGGGTGTAGAACTTATTTAAAAAAAAAACAACAACAACATGGGGCGCCTGGGTGGCTCAGTTGGTTAAGCGACTGCCATCGGCTCAGGTCATGATCCTGGAGTCCCGGGATGGAGTCCCGGGATAGAATCCCGCATGGGGCTCCCTGCTCAGCAGGGAGTCTGCTTCTCCCTCTGACCCTCCCCCGTCTCACGCTCTCTCTCTCTCATTCTCTCTCAAATAAATAAACAAATAAAATCGAAAAAAACCCAACAACTATGGGCTTTGTAGTTAAACAGGAGTGGGTTTGGATCATAGCTCTGCAACTTTTCCGTGTGAACTTGGGTGAGGCAGTTACCTCATCTGTAAGAAGAGATGCCATTGGCCTGCCTCATATGCAGTTTAAAAATTAAATGAAATAATCTATGAGAAATGCAATGCCTCGCATATAAATACTTATTATTTTTCAAAGGCAAATCGAGGACCAGATGCCAACTCAATTGTCCCTCGTCGAGTAAGTCATTTCTTCCACACCAAATCCAAAATCTGACAAAGACAAGCGTAACCATGGGCACGAGAAATCAGAATCCCTTAAGTCTGCACACCATTTTGCAACTAAAATGAACAGAACTGTATACCAAGAGTGTGACCTCTACCAAACACACGTCGCCGGTTACCTTTATTAACCAGGTCAACTATTAGGACTTTGCAAACCAAAATGCCGACCTCCAGAAGCCCACATCCTACCCGGTCACGTAACGTATCCCGGCCCTTCTTTTCCCGTCCATTGCATCAGCCGACTTAGAGCCGCCTTCCCGGAAAACAACTAGTAAGCTGATTCGTGCTCGAGTTGATTGGCATGCTGGCTGACCAATAAGTGTCTCGTAAAGGTAAATCTAGGCGGGGCACTTTCCATCGGGGCGCTCTGATTGGGCAGCGCTGTGCGGGTTGCGGTCTGTAGAGACTCCTGGCGGGTGCCGCTGCGCGTCTGCGGGAACAGGTAACCTCTGGCTCAGGGTGGTGGGCTATGAGGGAAGAGTTAGGGACGGCGACCCTCGGGAGAAGCAGATGGGCCTCGGAGAGTTTTGCGGCGCCACTAGAGCTTCTGGGTCGGGGGCCTGAAAGCGCAGCCGCCCCAGCGGGTCCCTGGGGCCAGGCTCCACGAGGCCTCTGGAACCGGGGCCTGGACTGGACTCGGGGCCGGGACAGCCGCCTGGCTACAGCGCAGCGGGAGAGAGGCATATTGTAGCCCCCTAAGGCGCTGGTGGCGGAGTGGCCGCGGGTGGCCTTGCCGAGGACCAAGACCTTGGGAGGATCACGGTTGCCATTGACTACCCGCCCAAAGCTGAGGTTTTAATCCCCCAGGGGCGGGCGAGGAGGTTGTGGGGGTTGGGGCGCGAGGGTGGTCTAGATGGGTGTAATTCCCCTATGAGCCATTTCCTGAAGTCTTAAAACTAGCTGGTACTGGTTCAGGTTCATCTGGAAGCACTTCCTATGCCCCGTCATGTTCTGCTATTACTTTTAAAGAGAGTCTGCATTTCCCGGTGTGCTTTAAGTTCGCTAACAGTTTGCTATTAAAGGACCATACTAATCCTGAAATACTTATTTAGCAATCGTTGTACTAGATGTTGAAGCTGTTCCCCTATGGTGAGCAAAAGCCAGTCATGATTCTCACGGGGGTGGAACTTACAGCCTGATGGGGGAGATGGACATGGAGCAAGCAGTCCAATGGGTGTGGAAGTTACAAAGGAAGACACTTGGAGCTATGAGGAAAAAAAAAGATAGGGAGAATCTGGGATCAAGAAGGAGAAGGCTTCCTTAAATCAGTGTCTTCGGAATTGATATATCAAAATTGAGGAATTAACTAGGAAATGGGCAAGAGTGGGGTAGGGCAGACAGCTTACTTGGCAAATGAAGAGCACATTGAAAGGTTCTACCACTGGAGCCTTAAACCCAAAGGCTGGTGTGATTCAGCCTCTGCTGGGAAGTAGAATCTCCATCCTGTCTGCCACCTTCCAGTGGATATACAATATATACAGCGTTCCAGTATATATTGAATAAATGAATTTGTGATGGTGACATGGCTTTTAAGAGTCCCTGCCTCTGTAGGGCTTATAGTGAATATATTGGATCCTTACATCATTTTGCAGTTCTTTCTATATGACTGTCTCCCCGTTGAGGGCATAGACTCATTCATCTTGGTTCCTGGCACAGTATGCATTTATATATGTTGAATGAGTAAGCAAAATGGGAGATTTACGAGTCTTTTGGAATACAGCTTATTTACCTCAGCCTGTTTAGAGGAGGAGCAGGGAACATTTTGAAACTGCTCAGATGTTGCTCAGTCAGAACTGGCACTGTACATTCATTTTTGCCACCATTAAGATTCATTGAGAGTCATGATGAGGAGGGATGTGGTGTGGCAAAGTTTCTAAAAACCCTAGCCTTGACTCCTTTGCAAGGACATCAAAGTCCTTATCTGTGGGAGTTTTGGTCTGCTCTTGGGCTCTTTCAGCCAGTGTTTCACCATCTTTTTGGCCAAAGGGCTTTGGTTTGAGTAATGAGTTGATTGAATTGTGAATTAATCATTTGAAATTGTGATTAACCATAAATCACTGTGTACATCTTCATCTTCCTTAGAAGGGAAAAAACAACTTTGCACTAAGTGACTTGAAGTAATAGCATCCATGTTCCTTTAGTGCTTTCCATTTTACAAGTTGCTTCCAAATAACTGATGGGTTTTGAGTCTCAAGACAGCCGGGTGGAGTAGGCAGAGTTAGATACTACTTTTTTACAAAAGAAACAGGGCTCAGTGGGTTAAGCGGCTGCCTTCCGCTCAGATCATGATCTCAGAGTTCTGGGATCGAAGCCCCACATCAGGCTCCCTGCTCAGCAGGGAGTTTGCTTCTCCCTCTGCCCCTCCCCCACACTTGTGCCCCTGTGTTCGTTCTCTCTCTCTCTCAAAAAATAAATCTTTAAAAAAAAACCCGAAAAACAAAAAAAGGAAACAAATTTGGGACAAAGTGACTTTTTTATGGTTAGAGTTGGGTCTTGAACTCTAGAGACTAATGTCAGCCAGAGGGTTCCCATTTTCCCAGTGCTGATGGCTCTATGGCACCATGCCAGTGGCTGGCACCTGCCCACCAAGGGCTGTCACTTTTCTCCAACCTGCCTCTCAGGGAAATCGTAATGGATGTGAAAGGGCTTTGAAATTGTCAAGTTGTTTCATTTCCTAAATTTCTCTCTCTTCTGAACCCCTTTCTCTTTGGCTCTGAGCTGACCTCCTCAGGGTGGCTGCAACATCCTCACCTCGTAGTAACCTAATAGCTGGGAAGGTAGCAGTCAGCCTGCCAGTTGTTCTGGGGGTGCTCAGGCTAGGTGGAGGCAGTATAGTCCTACTTGCAGGCAGTCCCTTGTATAACTAGGCCCATCCCCAGGTCCACTGCTGTTGACAGCAGCCTCCCCAAGATGGTCAGGCCAAACCTAGAGACCCTGGCTTTAGGGATAATGGGACTTTGCAAGATTCTAGGCATGTAGATGAACACAGAGCTGGAGGGGGCCTTAGAGTTCATCTCGTATGGACCCCTCCATTTGTTGGTGAGGTGAAGTGACCCCATAAGGGTTTACAGCTAGGACTGGAACCCAGGTCTCCTGAGCATCCCCCCAGCCCTAGTAGGCTTCTCTGCTGGATTGTAAACCATGAGGTTTTTATTCCCATTTCCTAATTCCTGGCCTAGGCCTTGGCACAGAGGATGCAGTGTACATCTTCATATTTTGGAATAAATGAAGACATGAAGAAAACACTCCTGCTCTACTTGATGTGTTGGTGTATTGAACCTATTGAGGTTGGCATGGGAAGGAAGAACACGTGGAGCTCTTGTATGCTGGTGCAGCAAGTTTTGCTTCGATAATGATTTTAGCCTTGGATGTTACAACATAGAGGTTTTAGGATCAAACAGCTTACCAGTGTCCTGCTTTGACTTGGCCTGAGAAGCCAGGAGTCTTGTGTAATGCCTACATATCTCTTAGTTTCAGTTCCCCCTAATTTTCCTTCATTTTTTCTGTGGTTAGTTCAATAGGGTTATTTTCAAGATGGACTCGACCCTAACAGCAAGTGAAATCCGGCAGCGATTTATAGATTTCTTCAAGAGAAATGAGCATACCTACGTTCACTCATCTGCCACCATCCCATTGGATGATCCCACTTTGCTCTTTGCCAACGCGGGCATGAACCAGGTAAGGGTTTTTTCCTTTTTCTTTCCTTTTTTTTTAAGATTTTATTTATTTATTTCACAGAGAGAGACACAGGGAGAGAGGGAACACAAGCAAGGGGAGTGGGAGAGGGAGAAGCAGGCTCTCCGCTGAGCAGGGAGCCCAACGCAGGGCTCGATCCCAGAACCCTGGGATCATGACCCAAGCTGAAGGCAGATGCTTAATGACTGAGCCACCCAGGCGCCCTAGAAGAGTTTTTCTGAAAGTAAAGGTGCCAAGCCTGTCAGCAGTATCTCAGAACTGGCAAACCATGGAAAGGGAATAGGATGCATGTTGCTACTGGAAGATCAACCATATTGTTTGTGCTAGACAAGGTGTTCTGGTTTATGTAAAAAGTAATATGCATCTTGGCTTTCAGTCCATCAAATGTAATTTCTAGCTACACATTAGCAGAAAATCCAAATTTACCAAGCCCTTACCTGGGGGTATCTGTTTGCAGGTTCTACTTGGCTGAGCATGGCCAACACAAAGGCAGCTGTTTTACCAGTGCCAGACTGAGACTGGGCAATTAAATTCTGTGGGCTGCACAAGAAAACAAACTGTTTAAGGGCTTAAATCTCAAGTATCCTTTTAGTTAATAACAATGAAGAATAAATTAGTTTACGGAAGGAGGCTTTGATTTCTGCAGTAGTTACACTTGCTTGCCCCACAAACACAAAGCACCACAGAGAGAAGACTGGTGGGATTTAAAGCACTCCATATCTTTTATTCTCGACACGGCAGCCAGTGATTCTTTTAAAATGTGAGTCAGCACATGTCACTGCTCTGCTCAAAAGCCTTCCAGTCACTCCCCATTTCATTCAGAGTAAAAGTAAAAATCCTGCGTTACAGGGTCCCACCTGATCTGGCTCCCTAGTAGTTCTCTGTTCTCAGCTCCTACCACCTGCTCCCTTACCCACCCCACCACAAAGGCCTTGGTGCTGCCCCAGAAGCATGCCAGCCATTCCCCATCCCAGGGTTTCTGTATTCTGCTGGGACAGCTGTCCCCAAATGACATGTCAACTCTCTCTCCTTCAAGGTTTTGCTCATACATCACCTACTTGATGAGATCCTACCCTAAGCACTTGATTAAAATTGCAACCTACTTTGCAATGCCTTAAAAAATGAGGTATTGGTGGATAGATATGTGATAAAGTACAGTAAAATGTTAGTGACAGCGTCTAGGTGATGGACATACGGGTGTTCACTATAAAATCCTTTCAACTTTAGGGCACCTGGATGGCTCAGTTAAGCATCCAACTCTTGATTTCGGCTCAGGTCATGAGATCTAGCCCTGTGTGTGGCTCTGTGCTGGGCATGGAGCCTGCTAAGATTCTCTTCCTCTCCCTCTGCCCCTCCCCACCCCACTTTAGTGTGCTCTCTCTCTACTCTCAAAAAAAAAAATCCTCTCAATTTTGTTTTTTGACAATTTTCATAATATAATGTTGGGGGAAAATTGCAGTCAGTTCCCTTGGTATTCCTGATCTCCCTTATTATGCTCTTTTTCTCATTAGTATTTATCACTTTTTTTTTTAAGATTTACTCATTTGACCCACAGAGAGAGAGCACAAGCAGGGGGAGTGGCAGGGAGGCAGAGAGAGAGGGAGAAACAGGCTCCCCACTGAGCAGGGAACCTGATGCGGGGCTTGATCCCAGGACCCTGGGATCATGACCCAAGCCAAAGGCAGATGCTTAACCCACTGAGCCACCCAGGCGCCCCAGTATTTATCACCTTCTTTAAAAACAGCTTTTAAGTGTACAATTCAGTGGCATTACTTACATTTACAACTTTCTAACACACTATATACTATATATATTTTTAATAAAAATACATTTAATAAATTTAATAAAAATAATCTATACTCCAGACTAAGCTCCTTATAGGCAGGAATTTTGGTCTGCTTTGTTTACTAATGTAACCAAATGCCTAGGATAGTATGTTACATACCTGCATTCAATACATATTTGTTAATGAAGAAAGGTACTAGATAATTCTCTCAGGTCTCTTCTAACATTGATGATTTAAAAATTGAACATACTTAGAGGTGCATAAATGGAATATTTATTTGTTTCACATTGGTCATTCGTATTTATAGATCTTAATGCTTTTCATAGATGCTCAAAGTGTCAAGCTAAAAAGAGACATTATTCATCATGAAAAAAGTCACTATTAAGACACAGAACAAAGAAAAAGAAAATACAGACCTAAAATGTCTATTTTTAGACTATATGAGAGGAGTTTCAGGATTTAGGATTATATGCAGTACAACTTTACATAATCATATATAATGTAGGGATCAGTTTTTATAACAAGTTCCGCATGCTCTTGAATGTTCTTGCTCAAAATGTCTGAAACTAGCAACATCAACATCACTTTAGAAGCTTCTTAGAAATAGTGAACCTCAGATGGACTGAAATGAGAATCTGGATTTTAATAAATTCCTAGGAGATTCATGTGCCTATGAAAGTATGAAAAGCACTGCACTACAAAACCACCTTAGTAATTACCCTGTTCTGGTTTCCCAGAATCCTACTTGGTTTTTGCTTACTGTATTTGACATAATACATTTTATATATCCATCTAATGAAAGCATGGTGTATATGAATGATGAATGTTTATTTACCAACATAGAAAGATAACCATCTAAGTTTTTAAAAAGCATTTAAGATTTCATATGGTTCCATTTTTTAAAAAAGGTATAAATATGTGAGTTTATGTAAAAAAAAGTCTAGAAGTCTCTAAATATTAGTATAGTGGGTGGGGGAAGATTACAATTTTTCTTATTTTTTATTTTCTAACTTTGCTAAAATAAGCATGTATTACCAGTATAGTTTTTTTAAAATAAATAAATTTTTAAAAATGGAAAACTAAAAATGGGATAGAGTTGTATCAGGATACATACGGCTCAGCAAGCATCAAAGGCAGTGCATTCTCTTGTATCTTGGATGGACGGTTGAAGCCCATGGCATAGACTCCCTGGAGAAGCTGTGGTTTCCTGGGAAAACAGAGATGAAAGTCACTGTCTCTTTGGTTGAGGAACGAAGCCAAATGTCTGAGGGACTTTTTCCTCTCTTTCTTACTCTTGTTACACACAGTTTACTTACAACGAATAATACTTGAATTGTGCACTTGGCACAATTCACATTACCTGGAAATTTTACTTAACAGCCCAAAGCAGCTAAATTCTTTGATTAAACTTGTATTAGCTAGCAGCAGCTCTTTCTGCCCATGGGTCCTGTGCTCCTGCTTTAATAAAATCACCTTTTTGCATTTAAAAAAAAAAATTAAAAAAATAAACTTGTATTAGCTAAAAATGTTCTGTGATAAAATATACACACACATACACACAAACATAATAGGCCTAGGGTCTCTAACACAAAGGGGAGAGTCAGAAAGTAAACACTCACAGCCGAAGCTCCTCAAAGGACTTCACTGAGTAGAGTGGGGAATTTGGGTCCCGCTGCAGGACTTCCACCTGGTTTGTGTTATCCACAAGGTTGCTTCTGATCAGCTTGTTGAGTAAGGACTGGGCAGCTCTGTCCTCTGTCAGGAAAAAGACAGCAAAGAATTTCATTTTTGTAATTTTTTTTGAGAGCAAAGAATTTTAAAAGGCCATGAAATCCACCATGAGCTCATCTGAATTCACTTGTCATTGGCATTTTAAGCACTAACATGTATTCATGCTAGGACTTCTAATTCAAGACATATCATAATTTTGACTTATAAATAGAATTAAAATTGCTTTATTAAAGATTAAGATTTTGATACTGATATCATGCAGTTGGGCTTCATATTCCTCTCCAAGACTCTATTCCAAACCCTCCTTTCTGGAGGTTATCTACTCTTCCTATGTCAACCCAAGTACTTACTCCCCAGTTTGTGCTCAATGGAAAATTGAAAATTATTAGCTTGGCCCAATGAAAAAAAACCCAGAAATTAAAAAGTTTGTATCTTGATATCATATAAGCTGTATGTTGTTATCCACCTTTAATGTGTCCAAATAGCATTAACTTTAGTAGACAATGGGGATGCAACTTAAAATTTCTTTTATAATGCCCTGTAAAAGATCATCATTCAGGGCATATTTCCTGCAGCTGTTGAAGTCCATCAGTTGCTCAAAGTAAAATTTCTCTAAAATGTAAACATTAAGAATTCCTTCAGCAACAACTATGCTGAGTGTTTATTAGCACTATGACTCCCATTAAAGTCAAGCCAAGTTGGGTATAAAAATGAAGCCTTGTAACAATCTATTCTCTTAAGACTGTAGAACCTCATGGGTATAGCTCTAGGCTGTGTTACCTTTCTCTTCTTCATCTGCCTTCTCTGCATTAGCATTGGTCTTGACAACAGCACCTTTATCAGACACAAAGTGGCCGTCATTCAATATTACATCCCATACCCAACAGCTGAGACAATTCAAATTCTATGAGACACTAGAAATGTAAAGGCCTGGGGAGCAGAAAAATAAATGAGGAAACCAAGCCACAGATAAAAGCATTTTATTGTTCTTAAATAAACAAAGGTATGAAACAGTGTTGCTTATATTTCAGTTCTTCCCTATTCCGAGTCCTCTCATGGTACATCAAACACTAATGGGACTTTCCCTCATAGCATCGGTATTTCTGAATGTTACAGAAGATGATCACAGCAGGCAATGATCACAAACCACCTTGATGCTCAACGGAGGAGTATCTATGCAAACCATATTTCATCAGTATATGAACGCTGTAATGCCATTAAGATTCTATGTATATAAACTGTTGTTTAATAGAAATGTATATTCAAACAACATTGTAGGTATGAAAAAATTACAGAAAAAGATTGTAAATGAATTTGGAATGAGGTAAATGTTACTATCCACCCCCCATAATATTAGGTACATCAACAAAAATTTAATGGAAATCTTGGATTTTGGGTAGACATTTCAGAATGGCAATAGGTTAACTCTCAGGTTGCTCATACTTTGTTGTATGTTCTCATGGTCAGTATATAAGTCAATTAGGCATCCTCATGCTTATTTTAAGCACAATACAAAGCAAAACAATCCAGCTTAGTTCCCAAATCAAATGATTGCCAGTTTCTGCCAGCCCCCTGCTTGGTACATATATAATTTTTTTTTTCCAAATAGTTATTATGTCAAAGCAGAAATACTAAAGGAAATCACATTTGTTTTCAAACTAGCTTTTACTCACCATTGGCATCTGGTTTGATTTTCTCTTCCTTAAGATGCAAGTTGCTCAACTAAATGGAGAATATGGGGGGAGGGGGGAAAGTGTCAGGAAAATCACTTAAAAGATTTTGAATCAACAGAGCCTCCCCAGTGAAGCTGGGGAGAAATGAGCTACTCTCAAGATCTATTCATTAAGTTGTTCTGCTGGGCTCCTTTTGTCGACTAAATGAGTGAGAATAAACAAAATTTCCCATAAACATAGAAGTAGAAAAAGAACTGGTTATATAAATGACTCAAAATCCACACTCCCTAATTACAGTTCCTAGAGAAAATTATAATTTATGAGTTTGCTTAATGCCCTGATTACAAAGACTCTCTCAGTAGAATACCATTTGTCATTCTCTCATATTCCAAACAACAGGAAATTTTAAAAGATATTGGAAAATGCAGTCACACTTCAGACAAGAACATCAAGGTGGGAGGGCTGCAACAAAAAGCATCTGTGAACAGGAATCAGTTATGTTGCATGATAGGTTTGAGCTTCAGGACTGCAATATGCTGATATGCACCCTCATATTCAGGTTGCCTTGTTCTTTGCCTTGTGGTGGAAGTCTAATATTTGAAACTGAACAGTCTGGGGCATTGTGGCACACTGTGTAATCAAAATACCTAACAATCTGAAGTAGGAATACAAAGGAAGGGTCAGAGCAGAGAGACATTTCAGAGAAAGAATTATTAGGACTTTGATCAAACACCGTAAATTAGGCATATCCTGGCAGGACTTATCTCCTCTAGCAGAATGAAAATACCCTTTTATTTGTCAGTTTCACCTCATAAAAGCTGGGGGAGGGTGTAGAAAATACCTTAAAGACAGGAGTATTTTTGTTTAATTGATCTTTGGATCTAGCACAAAGCAGGTGCTCTAATCATAAAATATTAAGTGGGGCTTAGGACATCATCTAGTGAAGGGTAAGAATGAAAATGGCTATTTCTTAAAGCACCACCTACAGTGGTTCTTTATGTTTTGAGGTTCATTCTGCCTTTCCTCTAAGTCCAGGAAAGGGGAAAGGCAAAAGAGGTATGAAACAAACATCTCTTTTAATGGATGGTTAGTTGGGATGGAGGAACCACACTTCTATTGTTGGAAACTGAAAAGGGGGTTTCTGGTGTCTCTGCTTTGGTGTTAGGGGAAGGAGTAGGGGGGAACACACTGGAGAGACTGGCAAGAAAGGAAATGGCAAAAAAGGAAATCATCATAAAGCAGTAAAAATCCTTCATTAATTCCACATGATAGCAAACACACTAACAGACAATGAATATGAAGTGACCAGCGCAGTGCATGATACACAGCAGGTGTTCAGTATATTTGGTCTTCTCTAAAACACTTCTCCACATCCTACCAACAAACCCTGTTTAAAAACGTGTAGTATCCAGGTCTATTAAGAGGGGGAGAGAGAGAGATTGCGCAGCCGGGGGTAGAGAGAGAGAGAGACAAACATACAGACAGACTGCCTGACTTACTGGCAATATTTACAACAGTTAGGTTAATTGTACTCACTCCTAGGGTGATAATTGCTAGCTAAAACAAATGATAGGGCTGAGGTATAAGTGAGTTAGTGAAGTATAAATGAGTTACAAACATCTATTACTGTAAAACATTTTAATACCCAATGATAAAAAGGACAAACCATTCTTTTGTTGATATACTGTTCAAACTGAAGTTAACAGTAAAGTAACAGTTAAAGTAACTAAAATGCAATATGTAGTAAAGGTGGTAGTTAACAATGTAAGTGAAACCAATAGATGTTTTGATTACAACGTATCAGGATTCTGGAGAGGTTCCAGCGGAATCTAAAAACAAACTCGCCCCTCACTTGGCTCTGAGGACCTCCAAGCCTGTAAAGCAGAGACAGTGAAGTCTGTATTACCCAGTGCAATGTCCGTGAACTGAACACTGAAACTTATATTGAAAGTACAGTTTAGAGGGGCGCCTGGGTGGCTCAGTTGGTTAAGTGACTGCCTTCGGCTCAGGTCATGATCCTGGAGTCCTGGGATCGAGTCCCGCATCGGGCTCCCTGC